CTCGGGGTGGTGCTGGCGAGGGTGGGGTGGGGGGCCTTGCCAGCCTCTTGGCCCGCGCCGGGCGCGGTGGGGACGCGGGGGATCTCTGCGGGCCCGATCCGGCCTCCTGGGGAGCACATGCCTGATGCCCGCTCCTTACAGGGGGGCTTCGCCCGCTGCTACGAGGTCACGGACACAGAGACCGGCAGCGCCTACGCGGTCAAAGTCATCTCGCAGAGCCGCATTACCAAGCCGCATCAGCGCGAGAAGGTGGGCTGGGGCCCGGGCCTGGCGGATGAGGCGCGGGGTGGGGACGGTGGCGTGGGAGCCCCTAAAGGATGACGATTCTGCTGCACCCCCATTGCAGATCCTAAATGAGATTGCGCTGCACCGCGGCCTGCAGCACCGCCACATCGTGCGTTTCTCGCATCACTTCGAGGATGCTGACAACATATACATTTTCTTGGAGCTCTGCAGCCGGAAGGTGAGGGATGGTGATTCGGGGTGAGGGGATCCAAAGCTGGAGATCCTGTCTCTTCTTCACGGAACACGGGTTGAGGGAGGGCCAGGGAGGGCGGTCCAGGGACTGAGGCGGTGGTCCTCTGTAGTCCCTGGCCCACATCTGGAAGGCCCGGCACACCCTGTTGGAGCCAGAAGTGCGCTACTACCTGCGGCAGATCCTTTCGGGACTCAAGTACTTGCACCAGCGAGGCATCTTGCACCGAGACCTCAAGCTGGGTGAGACTCCAGGGCCAGGGGGCCAGGGGTCGGAGTGGGGGTGGGGAGGCTGAGAAAGGAGTGTGACACACCTCTCTGCCCCCTTACAGGAAATTTTTTTATTACTGAGAACATGGAACTGAAGATGGGGGATTTTGGGCTGGCCACCCGGTTGGAGCCCCCAGAGCATAGGAAGAAGTGAGTGTTTCAGGGGGTGGCACAGTGAGTGTGTGACACAGATGACTGCCTGATAAGCAGCACCTCTGTGGGAAGCAGGATGAGTGCCTGGTGTGTGTGTGTGTGTGTGTGTGTGTGTGTGTGTGTGTGGCAGATGGGGAAGATGATGGGCTGTTTGTGTGTGAAGGTGGAGGTGGCAGCCTGGGTTGCTGGGGCTGGTGGAGAGGCTGGGGGTCCTATGGGTGCCTGAGTCCCTGAGATAGATCGGGATATAAGGATTCTTGGAGCTGTATGACTGATCTTGTGTGGATGGGGGCAGGTGACACAGTATTGTGTGTGTGAGACAGAGTGTGGGAATGGCAGGAGATGACACCCTGTATGTAAGAAGACCTTGCTGTGGCCATGACTGGGTGTGAGGGACACACAGCATGTGTGGCAGATGAGTGTTTATGGGGGATGTGACAGCTGGTGTTGGTGTGTGTATGTGGCACAGACCGTAGGAGGTGACAGCCCGTATGGGTGTCTGACAGATGGGAGTGGGGGACGGAGGAAGGGATCGGTGATGGGCTCTCTGTTGACCCTGGAGAAGGGGGCTGGGTTGGGGGCCAGGCCCTCCCTCCCCCCATCCTACAGAGCAGCTGAGCAGCTGGGCCAGGCAGGTGGGCGGGGACTCAGCTGCCATCCCCGGCATCCATTGTCCCAGGACAAGCAGGAGTTCTCTGGCCTTTGGTGACAGGCAGCTGCATTGTCTGGACTCACAGTGGGGGCGGGGATGGGGCGAGGGCTCGCTAGGCTGGGCCTAAACCCTCCCCTCTGCTCCCCTTTCCAGGACCATCTGTGGCACCCCTAACTACGTGGCTCCGGAAGTGCTGCAGAGACAGGGTCACGGCCCAGAGGCAGATGTGTGGTCCCTGGGCTGTGTCATGTGAGTCCCAGGTCATCTGCACACAGATGGGTGCCCGGGTGGGGCATACCTCCCACTTGACTCCTGACCCCTTGTCTCCGCCCACAGGTACACACTGCTATGTGGGAGCCCCCCCTTTGAGACAGTCGACCTGAAGGAGACGTACCGCTGCATCAAACAGGTTCACTACACGCTGCCCGCCAGCCTCTCACTGCCTGCCCGGCAGCTCCTGGCTGCCATCCTTCGAGCCTCGCCCCAGGACCGCCCCTCAATTGACCAGATCCTGCGCCATGACTTCTTTACCAAGGTCTGGTAAAGACACCTTCGTCCAGTTCGCACATCCCCAGGGATTGAAGGGGTGCAGGTGCAGGACCCTCCCTTTTCTGCTCACATGGCTCCACTCCTCAGGGCTACACCCCCGACCGGCTCCCTATCAACAGCTGCGTGACAGTCCCAGACCTGGTACCCCTTAGCCCAGCTAGGATTCTGTTTGTCAAAGTTACCAAGAGCCTCTTTGGCAGGAAGAAGAACAAGAGTGAGTCTGGGATGCCAGTGGTTTTGAGGGTACAGAGTGTGGGGGGGTGTTACATACACATACATGGTGGTGGGGTGAGTACCTGGGAGCCCCTGGGGAGAGCGTGTGTTACACAGGCTGTATCATCCTGTGGGAAGCAGGATACTGAGGGCTCCATCTGCCCCCATCCAGGTAAGAACCGTCCCGAGGAGCGGGACGAGGTTTCCTGTCTGGTGAGCGGCCTCACTCGGACGTCCATTGCCCATCAGGATGCCAAGCCTGAGGTGAGGTGCTCACACGGGCAAGGGTTCCCTGACTCACCCCACCCCAGCAGCTGCGGGAAGCTCGGGATTAAAGAGGCTGGTGAAGCATCTGGCCTCGTGCTGGCCTAATTGGCTGTGTCTCATTAGCCAGGTGGGGCTGACCTGGGGTGACCTGGGGTGACCTGGGTGCCAGGGCATGGGGTGACCTGGGTGCCAGGGCAGGGCTGAGCCATGGACTCTCAAAGATTTGGATTTTGCCCTGACCGATTTGGCTCAGTGGATAGAGCGTCGGCCTGCGGGCTGAAGGGTCCCGGGTTCCATTCCAGTCAAGGGCATGTGCCTTGGTTGCGGGCACATCCCCAGAGCGGGTGTGGAGCTGATCAATGTTTCTCTCTCACTGATGTTTCTAGCGCTCCCTATCCCTCTCCCTTCCTCTCTGTAAAAAACCAATAAAATATATTTAAAAGAAAAAAAAAGATTTGGATTTCGGGGCCTATCTCACCACTCTTTCTCCTACCCAATCCTCCAGGCTCCAGCAGCTTCTGGTCCAGCCCCCCTCAGCCTGGTAGAGACAGCGCCCGAAGACAGCTCACCCCGTGGGACACTGGCGAGTAGTGGAGATGGTGAGCAGCCAGGAGTATGAGAGGTGCTAGCGGGTTACTGGGCTGAAACCAGGGACCAGAGGGGAGGAGGGAGCAGGAGGACACGGCCTGGGTCCTAGGGGACTAATGCCTAATTCTGAGTACCCGTTCCCGTTAGGGTTTGAAGAAGGTCTGACCGTGGCCACAGTGGTGGAGTCAGCGCTCTGTGCTCTGAGGAACTGCCTGGCCTTCATGCCCCCAGGTGAGGTTGGGGTCCGGGACATGTGGATGGTGGTGGAAGCTCTTTGGCCGGGAGGCCAGGAACAGGCCCTACTCCTTCCTCTCCCACGACAGCGGATCAGAACCCGGCTCCCCTGGCCCAGCCAGAGCCCCTGGTGTGGGTCAGCAAGTGGGTTGACTACTCAAACAAGTTTGGCTTTGGGTATCAGCTGTCCAGCCGCCGAGTGGCCGTGCTCTTCAACAATGGCACACACATGGCGCTGTCGGCCAACAGAAAGTAAGTGCTGTGATAGGGCGTCTTGCATCCAGGCCATTGTACCCAGCAGGGCTGCACCTGGGTGTGTGCCCCTGGGCTCGGGGCCTGGGCTCCCTGTGACCTCCGTCTCCTCCCCTCCAGGACTGTGCACTACAACCCCACCAGCACAAAGCACGTCTCCTTCCCTGTGGGTGCTGTGCCTCGGGGCCTGCAGCCTCAGTTGGGTGTCTTGCGATATTTCACCTCCTACATGGAACAGCACCTCATGAAGGTGTGTGGACTAGGGTGGGGCACATGGAGGACTCACATCCTGGTCCCTTCCTGTTCCCTTTTGTGGAGGGGCTCAAAGCTAAAGGTCGAACCTCTAAGGGAGACATCAGTGGAGAGGGCCCTGACTCATGTCAGACGCGTGACTTGCCTCTGCTCCCAGGGTGGAGATCTGCCTAGTGTGGAAGAAGTGGAGGTGCCTGTCCCCCCACTCCTGCTGCAGTGGGTCAAGACTGATCAGGCCTTACTCATGCTGTTTAGTGATGGCACGGTCCAGGTAAGAGCTTCTCTGGGATTGGGGAAGGTCGGGAGGCCTAGGGTGGTGGGGCGGAAACGACTTGGGGCCTGGGCCTGATCCGTGCCACCCTCCTGTGCACAGGTGAACTTCTACGGAGACCACACCAAGCTGATCCTCAGTGGCTGGGAGCCCCTCCTTGTGACTTTCGTGGCCCGCAACCGCAGCGCTTGTACTTACCTTGCTTCCCACCTTCGGCAGCTGGGCTGCTCCCCGGATCTGCGGCAGCGGCTCCGCTATACTCTGCGGCTGCTCCGGGACCGCTGCTCGGCCTAGGCCCAGCCTGCAGAGCGGGCTACCACCCCAGCCCTCAGGCCTGAGGCCGGTGCCTGTAAGGCTCTGGCCCTGGCCTCTGTGGCCCTCCCTGTCCCTTTGGTGCCTCACTGGGGGCTCTGGGCCTAATCCCCCAGGGAATCAGGGACCAACTTCACTGGGGTTGCAGGCTGCCTGTCGTAGCTGCCTCCTTCCCCTTCTCCAAGAAAAGCCTGAGCCTTAGCCCCCAGCTAGGGGGCGCTATTTATGGACCACTTTTATTTATTGACAGACATTTATTTATTGGGATGTGCCGCCCTAGGGAGGGCCTTCTGGGATAATAAACCATTTTGCAGAACTTGGATGCTTCCTCACTCGTAGTAGAGCCCATGGACCGTGGCCACTGCAAAGAGCGAGGCGTTGGTGAAGGTGGCGGAGGCCAGGCCGTCATGCGCCCCGTCCCAGAGCGCACGGCTGACCACATGCACGCCCTGGCCCGTGTGCTGCCCCAGCACCACGCTGCACACCAGCTTGTAGCGGGGCGGGCTGAGCTCTCGCAGGCGCGTGTGCACCAGTTCGCACAGCTCCCGCGCCAGGGGCCCTGCCTTGGTGCCAGAGTAGACTGTGTCTTGTAGTCCTGTGGCCAGCACTTCCTCCAGGGCATGTTGTGTTCGCACGGCCTCCCAGCGCTCCCCAGGCGCTGGCTCGGTGCGATATGAGGGTGCCATCCGCCGAGGAGGTGCCAGGAGCAACCCGGAGAAGCTGATCCTTGAGCCTAAAGGCGGCATTGGGCCCAAGGACGGTCGCCGGCCCCCAGGACCCATGCCTGGTCCAGCCAGTGAGTTGCGGCGGGAAAAGGATGAAGTCAGGCCCAGCACTGAGCCACGGCGGGAGGCTGGGCCCGGACCTGCTGGTCGGGCCTCATCAATGCTGGGCAGATGGCCCGGAGGCCGGGCCAGCGATAGTTTCAACCCGGGGTCTTTGGCAGTCTCCTCCTCCTGGCGTCCAGGGGGCACAGGCCTACCAGCCATGGACCTGCTGCTGAGAGACCCACGCTTGGACTGGGTGGCCTTCACCTTCGAATGCCACTCATTTTCTTACTTGGTAATAAGGTTACCCCCTAGCCTCTTCTTACCTGTGTTTTTGAGACACGTAAATCAAATAGTCCAGGGCTGAGTGGATTCCTAGGTGCTTAGAGGATTAAGGGCTGTTAGGGACAAAAACAAGGAAAGAGATGCTGTTTAGATTGTCATCTTGGACTCGACCCTGTCCCTTGAGCTCCTTCGCCTGGACACTGGGGGTCAGCCAGCAGGAGAAGGGGTGGAGGTATCTGTTTTTTGCCTCAGCCTAGACAGTGGTGCCTTCAACCCCTAACCAGGAGGGACGGACAGACCCAACTCCAACCCACAGGTCCTAGCCCTGTGGGTGTTAAATCCAGTCATCTTCCACCCGCACCTGCTGCTAGAACGGTGGGCACAGATTTCTCCCCACACCTGGCTGAGGCTGGGGGCGGGCAGTACAGGAAGCTCCTTCGCTCACTGCTTTTGGCCTCTGGCCCTACCTCCCGGATCAGTTCTTGGATGGCAGCTCTCTTCTGAAATCCCGCAGGCACCCTGTCACCTGCAGCCTTTGGCCTCCGGCTCTCACAGCCTGGGCGGCCTGACCGGCAGGTGGGAGAAGGGCCCCTTGCCTGTGTTGTGGAGTGGCCATGGGTTGCTGGGCAAGCACTCCTCCCTTCCTGGTTCCCTCCCTCCCTCCGGGCTCTGACTTAACCTGGGAGTGTTACTCCTGTGAGCAGGTGCTGAGCGCAGGGTGCCTGAGTCACCCGGGGAGAGGGGACAACTGGGGTGCAGGGCCCAGGAACATTCCACCCCGACAAGGACAACTGGGAGCAGATGGAGAAAGGGGTGCTGGTCAGAAAGGTGCCCCTACCCCAGGGCTCTGAAGCCACTGTCCATTTCTCTTGTGAAGAATGGCTCTTCGCTCTTCCCTTGTGCGTCTCAGAGGCCTGGGATATGGGGAGACCTTGAGGCTGCTGCGGGGGCGGCTGCTCGGGAATCAGGATGTGGGCCCACAGGAAGGAGCACATCATGACTCTATCGTCTCTCCTTCAGTCTAAACAAGGACAAATATTTCCGCTCCCTGAGCAGAGCTAGGGTGGGGCTTGGCTGACTTCCTCAACTCAGGGCTGCCTCAGCACAGGGGAGGGGGGCTCACTCAACTAGGCGTCCAGCCTTCCGACCCCTGCTGACCAAGAACTCAGGGGCTGGTCCCCAGTGTGCCACGCCTCTTGGGTTGCATTTCAGGGATGCCAGAGGCCATGACTCCTTTGTCAGAGCTGACACCTCCTCACCTGACCCCTCTGGGAGAGACAGGACTGCCCTCTCCCAAATAAGCCGTGCCTGGGCCCTGAGAACCTGGGCTTTCCCTTCCTGGCCTGTGTTATGAAGTTGCCATGCGTTGCTGGGCAAGCACTCCCTTCCGGGTTCCCTCCCTTGTTGAGGGGGGTTTCCCAGACCTGGCTAACCTGATCCTCACTCTGTGCGTGTGGGTGAGGGGTAGGAGGGCAGGGAGTTAGAACGTCGAACCCAGGACCGGCAGGGCCAGGGTGCTGATACCCTCGGATTCTGCTTAGGGCCCCTCTGAAGTCTGAGGTTTTTCCTGGGCCTGTGGGAGATGGGCGGGGCCTCCTCAGGCCAGGCTCCAGTTTCCTTGGAAACCCACAGGCTTCCCACCCTAGTCGGCCTGGGCAGGCTCCCAGCTGGGGCCTCATTTGCAGTTAGCTTCTCCTCCCCCATTTAGTCTGCTCCAACCCGGCCTCTTTTGGTCCCCTCCCGGGGTCCCCAAGCCGAGCCTCTGGCCTCCTCTACCAGCCTCTGATGCCTTCTTCAGACACCTGGGCCTCTCCTGCCCCATCCCTCATCAGCTTCTCAGCAAGCGGCCTCCCAAACCCCCGCCCCTCCCTCTCTGGCCTTTCTCGTCTCTTTACCAACTGTCAGGCCTGGCCAGGCCTCCTGCTCCTTCCCACCTACTGCCTCCCACAGACTGACCTACAACAGGCCTGCTAGGCTATTTCACTCACGCCCCTGCCCCGCCCACCCATGGAGACCCCTGGACTGGTGCATGGGGGAGCTGAGTGCTTTTCCAAAGCCCTCGGAAGCCTCGTCAACAATCGCCTGTACAGGTGAGGGGGTGGGTCCTCTCTGTGGGTTTCCAGAGCCGGCTCTGCTGGGCCCCCTGACTCAGGAAGCACTGAGAGCAAGAGAGACGGGGAGTTAGGACTTGACCCTCTTGAACTCAGGGGCCATAATATCCCCAGACCAGAGGTGGAGGGTGACCGTGTGGCCTGAGGCAAAGGCCTTCCTTTTGTGGATCTTGGGCTCCTAGCAAAGAGCCCCCTGCCCCCTGGATCCGGAGAGATGGGAAGTAGCTCGAGTCCCTCCCTGGGGAGGCAGAGGAGCAGATGACCCTGTCCTAGGAACTGGGCATTTCCTAGAGGAACCAAGTTCAAGAGATTGAGGCAGTGTCTCAGACAGGAAGTGGTTCAAGGGTGCTGTCTGGGGCTCAGTGTCTGCCTAGGACACAAGTAGACTGAAACCAGGAATAGAGAATGGGGGCAGGGCTGGTCGGGAGAATTGGCATGTAGCTTGCTGTCCCCACTGGCTCAGAGCCGGGCTCCTCACAAAGGTGGCTGAATCCCATAACCCTACTGCTTTGGAGGCCACGGGCCTTGGAACTGGGACCAGGAGGCTCCAGGAAGCCAGCTTTCATCCCCTGCCTCCTACCCACGTTATTGTCAGAGGCCAGAGGCTGGGGCCGGAAGTGATCATGAAGATGGAAAATGTGGTCTGGCCTCTTGCTGGTGCATTACTGCTGTCTCTGTAGCCCTATCCTCCCACCCCCTCTTGCCTGGAGGAGGCTGAAAGAAGCTGAGTGTGCAGTCTGTGGAGGAAGAGCAAGCAGCGTTTCCCTTCCCCCAAGACTCGGGCTGGGGCGGAGAGGGTATGTGTAATCCATCAGCCCGGGGGCTTCTTCAGTGATCAAGCATAGCCACCTCCTCCCAGACCGGAGAGTTTGGGATTACCGTCCCATTTCATGGGGGAGCAAACTGAGATTCAAAGGTAGAAAGTCACTTGCCTGAGGTCCCATAGGGTGGAGCTGGGACTAGAACACAGGCCTTTGTATTCCAAACCTTCGGCTGGAAGAACTAAGCCCTGTCTCGAAGACACAGAATGGGCAAAGGCAAAGCCTAGAGTTGCATCCTAGACTCCGGCCTCTTCTCCCCTGGCTCTCTGCCCCTCTCTTCCACAGTGATGTTCGCTTTGTGGTCGGTCAAGAACGGCAGGAGGTGTTTGCCCACCGGTGCTTGCTGGCCTGTAGATGCAACTTTTTCCAGCGACTTCTGGGCCCAGAGCCAGGCCCTGGGGTGCCTAGCCCTGTGGTGCTAAGCACCATACCAGCGGAGGCCTTCCTGGCAGTGCTGGAGTTCTTGTACACCAACAGTGTCAAGCTGCACCGCCATTCTGTGAGCCCACTGGGCAGAGGTGGGGGGGAGGGGGGGCTGAGGAGCAGGGAAAACTCTTCCACTCCAACCACCGCTTTGCAGGTGCTGGAGGTGCTGACAGCAGCGGTGGAGTATGGGCTGGAGGAACTGAGAGAGGTGGGTTTATGGGCAGGCCCCTCTCCTTTCCCTTGCCTCTGATGGGTTCATTTCATACCCTTCATCACACTCATTCTATCCCGGAGAGGAACATGTACCAACACCGGGAGAAGTATCTTACTGTGTTAATAGGCATTTATGTGTGCCTGTGTGCAAAAGGATGCCTGCATGCCTGGTGTGTGCTGGGGGGCATATGGGGTGTTTACGGCTGGTGCTGTATATATCAGCTAAGAGCCTTCATCCTTGTTCTTCAAATAGAAATAGACATGAAAACCCTCCTTTGTGGAGGTCTGGGCCTGCCAAGGCTTAGGCCCTGGTGATTCCCCGTCTCCCCTGGCCTGGGAGTCCATGAGCCTGGGCCTGGGCCTGGGCCTGTGAGGAGTCTGATGGCTGACGGTTCCAAGCCTGCTCACTGCTTCTGGGATGGGTGGGGGTCTGGGAGCAAGGATACCTCAGCACAACCTACATTCATTTCTGTTCCCAGCTATGTCTGGGGTTTGTGGTGAAGGTGCTGGACGTGGAGCTGGTTTGTGAGGCCCTGCAGGTGGGTGTTGCTGGACCCAAGCAGGCAGTCCCCCGTGTGGAGGGCTGGGCTACTAGTACACGGCCCCTCATCGCTAACGTGATCTCCCTTATTCTGCTCCCAGGTGGCTGTAACCTTTGGCCTGGGACCTTTGCAGGAGCGTTGCATAACCTTCATAGAGGCCCACAGCCAGGTACAGCTCCCCATTTTCCTACAACCCCACACACCTCATTCTGCTCCTCCCTGACCCACTCCTGGACCCACAGGAAGCACTTCGGACCCGTGGCTTCCTGGAGCTGTCAGCGCCCGCGTTGCTGCTCCTGCTGCGCAGTGACAAGCTCTGCGTGGATGAGGCTGATCTGGTCCTGGCGGCCCGGAGCTGGGCACGCGTGGGAGCGGTGAGTGGGGTGGAGGGGAGCGCGGGCTGAGGGTGCTGAAGGATTGGGCTGCCGGAACCGGCGAGCAGGCGGTGGGCCAGGTGCCCTCCCCCCTCCCCCCACGGGGTGGGAACACCGGGCTCAGGGCTGGTGTTCGCAGGCGGTGCTGGAGAGGCCTGTGGCCGAGGTAGCAGCCCCAGTGGTGCGGGAGCTGAGATTGGCCCTGCTGGCCCCGGCGGAGCTGAGTGCCCTGGAAGAGCAAAACCGGAGGGAGCCGCTCATCCCGGTGCGGAGGCGGGGAACGACGCTCAGAGCCACTCGGCAGCGTGGGGTGGGGGTGGTGGCACAGGGTCTGGGGGATGAGGAGGGCACCGCGGGACTCCACCGTGAGTGACCGGCCTTCCCCTGAAGGTGGAGCAGATCGTGGAGGCGTGGAAATGCCACGCTCTGCGAAGAGGAGACACGGCCCGAGGTGCGTCGTGCCGCCGCCGGAGGGGCACCCTGCCCCGGGAGCATCACCGCTTTCTGGACCTGCCCTTAAAGTGACCGAAGGCCAGGTCTCGCGAGGAATGCTGGGCCTCTCCTAAACTACATCTCCCGACATGCTCGGCCCTCTGAGCCGGCTTCCGCTCCCACCATGCTCGGCGAGCGGCGCGCGGGAAGCCCTTTTTTTGGGCGGGGCCGAGGAGGGGCGGGGAGGGCGCGGGTTTGCGCTGGGCCCCAAATCGTCTTCCCTGGCGTCATACCCTAACCCCACCCGGCCCTTGGGCACTCTCGCCCGCCCCATTTACTCTGGCACTTCCCGGCTCAGCCCCTTCTTTCATTCCAGACCTGCCTCCTGGAGGCCGCTTTGTAACTGCCCCACGGACACCTCAGACTGTTCAAAACCGAGCCTCCTCGTCTTTCCCGGTTCCGACCCCATGTGTGGCCCATGTCCGTGAGCGCCGAGCCCGCACCCGGGCCCCTGGCCTCCTCCTCCCCTCGCGACTGCTTCCGCCGCCTTCACAGGGACCAGGCCGCGGCATGTGCCAGGCCCAAGTGTGCCTTCGGACCTAAGGGTTATTTTAAGCTGCCCTTTCGTAGGGGAAGTTTATATTTATAAAGGCATCTCCATGTGTAAGGGCGCCTCCCTCTGTACCAGGAGAAGGATGACTCATCACGAGAAGCTCGTCGGTGGAAAGGCGCCCCTGAGAGCCGACCGCCCTCACGCTCCCGGCCCCGCTTTTCCCCTCTTCGGCGGGAGGTGGAGTTTCAGTGGGTGTTTTAGGCCGCGCAGGGACTTCCTCATTCTCCCTGGGCATCTCCATGTGCACACCAAGTGTTCACGTTAATAAACTTGTTTTTCTCTTGTTAATCTGTGTTTTTGTTATGGGGTCTCAGCCAAGAGCTCAGAGGAGAGGAAAGGTATTTTTTCTTCTTGACAAGATTTTTACAGCTGTTTCAGCTCTTTCCGCCAGTCTGTCCGCGCAGGAATTACCGAAACAGGAGAATTACCTCCTCGGGACCCCGAAGCAGCTCTCACAGCGGCGGGTTTGCCGGGATTATCAGCCCAACGCCCAGTTAGTCTCCGTCGCCCTCGGGATAAAACAATCCGTTTCGCTTTCAGGGCGCTCACAATGTATTAGTGGCTCCAAATAACAGCAGCTTGTTTTTTTTGTTTTAAATATATTTTATTGATTTTCCACAGAGAAGAAGGGAGAGGGATAGAGAGCCAGAAACATCGATCAGCTGCCTCCTGCACATCCCCCCAGTGAGGATGTGCCGGCAACCAAGGTACATGCCCTTGACCGGAATCAAACCTGGGACCCTTCAGTCCGCAGGCCGATGCTTTATCCACTGAGCCAAACCGGTTCGGCGACAGCAGCTTTTTGTTATGGGTTAGCTCAGTGAGATAGACCACCGACTCAGAATTTAAATTTTAAGAGCCTTTATTAAGCTGACCAGCTGACTGCTAGCCGTGTCCTTCCTGTAAGAGCCCACAGCTTGCAGTGCAGACCAAGAGTACAGCAAGACCTTTTATCTGCAACACTACGAAGTATTTTTTTTAAGCAT